TCGAACCACTGACCTCTGCGATACTAGTGCAGCGCTCTACCAATTGAGCTAACAAGCCAACTGGGAGCAGGCCATCAAATTAATTCGATATAAACCCGTAGATGATAAATCAAACAACAACAAACATATGAATCATATGTATTAACTGCGGTTATGAAACGTATATTTGCACGATCCTTCGCAGTAAAGCACTATTTGAGCAATAGTGAAAATCAGACCTGAAAAAAAAAATTTCAGGCCTAGTATCGCAGAGGTCAGTGGTTCGAGTCCCGTACAGGCCTGAAATTTTTTTCAGGTCTGATTTTCACTATTGCTCAAATAGTGCTTTACTGCGAAGGATCATGCAAATATACGTTTCATAACCGCAGTTAATACATATGTTTCATATGTTTGTTAGTGTTATAACATGTTGAGATATTTCTGCATATGTCCTCTTTATGAATTCTTCAGTTTTATCTCTCCCACAGTGTGCGGTTGAAGAATGAGCTTGGGATAAAACGCCATGAAGTTGGCTTTTAGGCACTACAATTTTTTGGTCCTTGGACAGGATGTTGTCATTTTGAATATTCCACTGCTTTCGCTTAATTGTCCCTATATCTGTCTTTGTTAGTCCAAACTGCTAGTGATTCTTGCTTTCATTTTTGAGCCAGTTCTTAGCATTTTCGTAAAAATTCATCATCTATGAAGACAGTCACTTTACTGTTACTTTTTCTGGAGCCTTTAAGGGCATCTACAACTTTTCGTAAAATGTGTCTTAAGCGACACAAAACAGTACACTCTCCATCACTTTCTTTGCTTTCAATGAACAGGTCCCATTTTCATACAAGTGCACATACATGTGCATGTTGTGCATAAATTAGATTTTGACCTAGGTGAGTCTGGGACCAAAGAAAGAATAAATAGAAGAGAAAATGGAAACTCCTAAATTGAGCAGTGTGGTATAGAGAATAGTGTGATGGACAGGAGATCTGAACTGCTATGAAGGTTGTTGGTTCAATATGCAGAGGGTAAGTAATACTTCTTTATTCTCAATGAAGTACTGGTATTAATATAAATGCAACATAACTGGTGTGAAGCAGAACTATGAGATAGTGAAAGAGTACAGGTTGATAGAAGGGGAAAGGGAGTAAGAGAGGAATGTGAAAGTGATGTTGTCAATTTTTTTTTAATTCCTCTACCTTTTAAGAACCCCCTAAAAATACCAGGCCCCTATTTTTCCACACCCCAAAAAATGAATTAATTTCAATATATCAACAAAGTTGAAATGGTAAATTGGCCACCGTTATGATTGCAAAAGCTGACATTTTGAGCATTAGCCCTTTGTCGGAGCGAATAGAAGAATTGTGGGTTGTGTGAACTTTTAAAGGCAGAAAATGGAGCTATGTGATTGGTGGGAACATGGCAACAAGAAAAACACAAATAAATTAGTGGAATGAAAAGCGTTCTTTGATACCTATGGGATTTAGATTGCCGGTTTGAAAGATGAGCTTTTGTTCAAGAGTTTTAAGGCTTTCCGTGCTACCTAAGTGCAAGGAAAGACCACAGATTGCTATATGTTGCTTAGAATGATTAGGTAAATTAAAATGTCTAGCAACAAATGAATGCCTTTTTCAGACAGTTGACTGAAACCAGGCAAGAGTAAAATTACCTGGTTAAAAAAAATACCAAGTTCAAAAATATATTTACCTAGTTAAAAAAAAAATTACCTATTGAAAATTTTTAACTAGACTGTACAACATGAACAGAACAAATGAAACACATTTATTTCAACAGTTGGCAACTACCTGAAATGGAACTTACTGGTGGTAGGTGTTGCTTAAATTTGGCAATTTACTAGTTGCATTGAAAAAAAAATGTTGCTTACTTGCTAAGCAGCCTGGCTCCTTGAGCTGATCTAAATTCCCTAAAATCTACAAAACTGTAGTAAAAGTCATGATCTTCTCCTGCTGTAGGCAAGTTGCCAGATTCCCTTACAGCTTGGACAATAGCAGCTAGGGATTCCTAAGAAGAACAGCAATCAAATTATTGGATAAAGGGGGCAAGTTCCTAACGCAACTGTAGTGCTGTGCTGGTGGGGGTAACAAGGTAATTTGGTTCTATCAACAACGTTGAAATTGTAAATTGGCCACCATTAAGAATTAAAAAGCTGGCTTTTTGAGCATTAGCCCTTCATCAGAGCAACGAAGGGCTAATGCTCAAAACGTCAGCTTTTTAACTCTTAGTGGTAGCCAATTTACAATTTCAACATTGTTGATATATTAACCAAATCAAATCATTGGTCTATTCTGTATCCTTCTATTGATATATCCCTGGCCTATCCTTCAAAATAAGTAAAAATCTACCTGCAAGAACAATTGGCTAATTTAGCTATGGAGGCTTATCACAATTCTGGAATATTTAAAGCTTGTGGCAACTGCAAACTTTGTTCTTCTCCAGGATGAATGCTTTAAGCAAGGGGAAAATTATGAATCCCATCAACACCTATATATCTTTCATGCTTCTTTTTCTGCATTCTCTTTAACTACAATTCAGCTAAGAGGATCATTTCTTTACCTGCTCCTTGCTGGTGGCAATTTAATTTAATTTATATAATGAAAACACAAAAGAAGAAACTCCGAAAGACTTTTGCATGACAATCTTACCTTAAGCAGTAAGCAAAAAAAGTAATAAGAACATTTCAGGGCTACTTTAGCAAGGAAAATGTGTCACATCGCATGCAAGAAGTCGTACGATACAAAGGCATGAAACATTTATCAAACATGGCGGATAGGCATTTAATACCAGACCTCCTGTTCTCAACGGATTAATTTTAAATTCAGAAGCTTTTCAACAAAATATTGTGCCCACGATCACCACGAAGAAGCCACTGTAATATGTCGTCTCGGAAGACGCAATTTGAAAGCCATTTCAAGTTTTAGCTTAAAGGTAAACAAACTTAATTTGCAATTCCTTCAGCAGAGAAGCAGAAACGAGACTTAAGGCATTTTTCTCATCTACAATCTTTTATTTATCGGAGGAAGTTAGTTTAGTTGCCAAAGTGGCGACTAAACTCGAACTTTTAGTCACCAAGTTAAAAGTTTTAGTTGCCTTGGCGACCGTTCCGGTTGCAATTTCAAGCCCTGTCCTACCCCAACCCTGCAGGAGACGGGACCTACGGTTTATTCGTCCTTATCCGAGAAGACTAGAATGTCTAAAAGTATTTGGGATGCTGATTTGCTTAATATTTGATCTATATTGTAAATGCATCCCTCTCAAAACAACCTTCCCTCAACCCCCACCACTCCCCCCCCCTCTGAACAATGTTGAACTCCAGCACTGAAACTTGATACACAAACATCAAAATTGTCTTAAATGTCCACTCTGATCCGATTAAAAGCCATGTGACCATCAAGCCAGCAAAGTGAGCAAGATCTTCCGACTCTTAAAAAACGTAGAGGCTGATTGTACAACCCTAACCGAAAAACTGTCCATCAAAGATAATTATTCAGACCCAGTAAGAGTTTCTTATGGTATTCCAAGCTGTTATATAATGCACTGGGGTATGTAACATGAGCTCAGCTTTTTTTTAAGCGTCGAAATAGATGTGTGATGGAATTGATCGTTAAACTCTCGAAATTTAAGTCTGCACAAAGAAGACTTCCCTTGTCATATTTATACAAAGCTAGGTCCCCTGAATCTAAGAAGAATTGAATTATATAGATTAAGCATTAAAATTCCATAAATACCTGAGAAAACGTTTTCAGATCTCCTATTCCAGGCAAAACACTCTCTGCATCGTCTCCTTCCATGTGGTCAGCCATTTTTGAAACCGAAAACTGAGAAGATCTGGGAAAGGAAAATGGAAATCCCATGACTCTTAGTGATCGCATCCTAGTGCCAGTACTTCCGGGTGGGTATGAAAACAAACATGGCGGTCAAAATGGACGATGTTTCGTCTCCTCAACTCGCGCTTAAATTTTCAAGTTCTGCCTTCGACCCTGAGAAGTGTTAGTATTGCTTGAAAACTATCTTTCTCATTAGCACACTTCATACCATCCAAATTATCATTTTTTGCTTTAATGTTTCAGTAATTGACTATCTTATCATGATACAAAGCTCTAGCTGGACTGCAACTTCCCCCTTATTTTTTTCTTCAGATGTCAGGGATTTGTCAGCGCAATGTGACACTGATGCTGACCTTCAGGTTCATCGAAAGCGTATTCAGACCTTAAATGAAGAAACTGCGGTTAGCTTGAAGAAAAATGTATATAAGAATTACATGCAGTTCATCGAAACATCGAAGGAAATATCATGTATCCTTTAAATCTGGCGAGGGTGTGGGGTGGGTACATTTTGCTGATCCCCAGTCCATGGACTACCCTCGATGGACTACCTAAATGGACTACCCATATGGACTACCCTAAATTACCTACCTTCACGCGAGCGGATCGAGCGAAAAGAGGGACTTCATTCTCTTTTGTACCAGACGCGTTCAACCGACGACAACCTGTTAAAAATAAACCGATCTGTCACTTGATAACTGATAACTCCACCTTAATTTGTCGCCCGCTATATTCCCACGGCTGTTATTAAAGAGAAAACAAAAATGCTTCGAGAATCTACCTGGACTGCTTGATTGCTCTTGACTGACGCACGGTTAGTGTTGTTGTGTAGCTTTCGTTTAAGCTTCAGTGTACTGCTCTAATCATCTGAAGATCGCAATATCCGTGAAAATAACTACACTGTAGAGCTGGGCCCAGAGATATTTCCTGGAATGTAACTATTTCCTGCTGACATAGCAGGAAATAGTTACACTTAAGGACAAAGAAACTTACATCCGTGCATGCATTTATTCACAGACAGTTGTTTCGGCAAAGCCCTTAGACTTGTGAGAACTAACTCCTCAGCTAAAATCTTTCAAAAGAACTCTTTGCAAATTACTATTTGATATATTAGAAAAGGAGGATGAATATATTGAAATCCTCATGATTGTTAATAAAGTGGTTCATATATATGTTACGTCTGTTTTTTTTCTCCTCTTTGTATTTATAGATTGTCAGTAAGTGCTGTGTTCATTTGTCGATTCCTCATGTATTTGTCTTATCCTGCCATGACTAGCTTCCCAGCTATTTGTGGGACAAACCTTTTCAAATATGTATTTCGTAATATGAATAAAGTTGTACTCTTATCTTTCTATTAGAATATCTATAACTTAAAAACACGCCTTCGCGCTGGAGGCTATCCTCACAAGAAAAATCGCCTCTGAGTTAATTTATAGAATGGAAGTCAGCTTTGCAGAGGGACAACAAAGTGTGAAAGAAAATTCTGCCTTCGTTACCACGTACAACCCTTCTTTGCCAAATTTTGAAAACATCTTAATGAGCAAATGGCATAGAGAAATATACAGCAAGCCCCCCATTTCAGCAAATCTCTAGATTCTATAGAAAGCACTTGTTCCGCAAAAGCAAAAATTGCTTGAAATTTGTTCGCAGCAATGTCTGTAACAGCCAAGACAGTAACAGTAACAGCCAAGCTTATAAGATACAAGATTATAAATTCGAATTACTCACCACCCTTCATGCGCGATGAATGAATTAAGAACAAAGAAGAACAGCTGATCAGCGGCATTAAGAAAAGAAAATGGTGACAATCCATCATCAATCCCTGTTTTTTTTAAAGGTAGGTAATTTAGGGTAGTCCATATGGGTAGTCCATTTAGGTAGTCCATATGGGTATTCCATTTAGGTAGTCCATCGAGGGTAGTCTATGGACTGGGGATCAGCGAAATGTACCCACCCAGGGTGTGCCCGATTGGTAATGGGGGATGCTAAAGGAGTACAATCGAGATTATAGCACTGAAGATGCGAACAGGAAACTATCTTCGAGTGCTTGCTTACTGATATCTTTAATCTAACTCTCTTTGGAAGGGTTTTTTTTTTTTGGGACCTGAGTGCAAACTGAACTTTCTGTTGCATGTTGCACATTTTATTGCGGATCAGTTATAAATCGTAATACATGTCAATGAGACAGATTCCATGACTTATTACATCAGATCTTGAAGCAGAAATGTATCAGTTGGGACATTTTTTGGCGGAGCAAAAAGCGATACTCAGCAGCCAGGAGGACATGTCGTTATTTGGAAAACAAGGTAATTTTATATGCCAAGAAATTAAAGTACCCACAGCTTTCATGATTCAGAATGATTCAGTTAATAATGAATCAACACAGGTTAAAATAATTTGTCTTTAGAAATGGGAAAGTGGTGATATAATTTATTCACTAATTCAGGTGCAAGATATGCTTGAGAACAATCAGACTTAAAAAGTTTTATTAATTTTTTGATCCACAGCTATGAATGAATTGTTTAATATTTGTCCCCTTTTCCCCTGCCCCACCCTTTTCCTCCCCCTGAAATTTTGCAAAGTTTTAAAGTTTTAAAAAAAAGTATTGTTTTTCTTAACTTAGATTCTAATTCTTCAATAAAACCTTCAAAGAAAGATGAAAAAGGCAGCAGCTCAATAGAATCAGTAGAGGGTCTGGCTGTAAGTTATATTTGTATGTCTGAAATGAAATGATTGAAAATTGTTGTGTCCAAGTTAGTTAATTATGACGTCCAAGTTAACAGTTTTCAAGATTTCATATCGTGGGAATCTTAAAGGGATCCTCCACTGTTTTCGAAAATATCGCTTAAATGCTCTTTAAGTGCCCAAGAGTAGATTTTTTGGACAGAAAAATGTTCTCTCCCCTTAGATTTTTTGTTTTGGCCTCTCAAAAGAGGCCTTCATGACCAGTTCGAACATCCCGCGGTCACCATTTTGATCGGCGCGCAAGGCTCTCTGGGGTGATGACATAAAATGGTTGCTCAATTCCCTTGCCCTCGGTAAAATTGGTAGCAAAATGCCGCACTGCGTTGCCTTTGAGTGTACTATTCAAGCTAAAAACAGGAAAAACAATCCCAAAATTCGTTTCCACGATTTTCCAAACGATGCAGCGATTCGACAGGCTTGGATTCATGCTTTTGGAAGGACATCCTTGCCCAAAGACTCACGTCTGTGTTCGAAGCACTTCGAACAGCATTGCTTTGAAGAGTCTTACCCCTTTCCTGTTTTTAAATGATTACTACACTCAAAAGCAACGCAATGCGGCATTTTGCTACCAATTTTACCGAGGGTGAGGGAATCCAGCAACCATTAAATTACATCATCACCCCAGAGAGCCTTGCGCGCCGATCGAAATGGTGACCACGGGAAGTTCCAACTGGTCATGAAAGCGTCTTTTGAGAGGCCAAAACATAAAATCTAAGGGGAGAGAACATTTTTCTGTCCAAAAAATCTTCTTTTGGACACTTAAAGAGCATTTTAAGCGATATTCTCGAAAACAGTGGAGGATCCCTTTAAAGAAAGTGCTTGATAATCTATTGATAGAATCTTCTCACTTGGAGCATTAACTAAAAATTTACCAAACTTTAGGAATCTTTCATTTCCTTGTTAGCTATCTTTTTATGATGAAATGATCAGAATGAGCTGATTATACTTTATTAAAAACCAGGGTCTATATAGTGATAGCCATCATAGCCAGGGCTCTCTGTAGGTGCAACATGAATGAAATAGATAGTCATTTTTTTTTTTTTTTTATGACTGACAGAGTGTCCTGGATATAACTGATGTGAATTGTGTTTTTGAGGGAGACCTGGTTGAGGTTGATCCAGAAACATTTCTTCCAAAATCTAAAATTCATGCCTTCCTGTTACATGACAGTATGGTGGTTGCAAACATCATTCAAAACAGGTACTGGTAACAGTTATTTTGTTGATCCATGAGTCATTGGTGATGTTATTAGAATTTATATATGCGAACTAAAGAGATGTGAAAAAAAAAAAAGATTTTCAAAATAAACTGATCTTTTCCCTCACCAGTATTCTGTGCATGTGATACTCAAAAACAATTTTTTTCCTTAAAAAGGATACCAAACTTGAATTGCCCGATTATGTACTTTTATCAACAGTTATTATATGTTGGTAATATGTTTGGTTTTATTAGGCGTGGCCCAGTTCGTTTTAAGTTCCAAAGTCTGTTTGAACTGGAAAACGTAGCAGTAGTGAATATGACCAGTGCTGATGGTATGTAACTATGTTAATAGACAATCACTTTTATCTCAGCCTCTTCACACTCTCTATTTTGCGACTGTTTTTTTATTAAAAACATGCCAGCAGGTAAATAGTAAATACAGTATGAGGTTACATGTGCAGAGGTTATATGTACCTGTGTATTATTCTTTTAGTTTGCTCTACAGACCAGTTTGATCACTTAGTATCTGAGGTTAGCAGCAAGATCTTGAAAAGTACACAGTACCACACTTAGAACAGTTTTACTGTGCTTGATTTTTGGATCAATTGGTTATGATACAGGGACATACTGCAGTTTTAACAGTTTTTTATTGTTTTTATCAGGGATAATGATAATAATAATAATTCAATATTTATATTGCACAAATTAACAAGTGGATTTGATCAAATGCACATCACAACACTTTCAGGGGGACTTTGGCAGGACTGCATCAGCAGTTTACAAACAATCAAAGGAAATTTATTTGAAGATGCCCCCTCCCCCCAATTCCCAGTAAACAGGCCAGACCATGTCACAGTAATCTCGTGGATGGGTTCTTTAACATCCCCTGCCTAACCAAATTAACTTATTAATAGATGCAGGAGACAGTACCTACAGTTTATTCATCCTTATCCGAGAAGACTAGAATGACTATCCATTTCTTGATATTATACAAAGGTAGCGCATTCTCCAAAGTTATTTTAAGACCTTGAGTGTTGGTCCGGCCAGGGCTCGACCCATCGACCTCGACCTCCCACACAACAGTCCAGTGCTCTAACCAATTGAGCTAACCGGGAGGCGGTCAAATGCAAGGTCTCAGAAGATACATATCCTAAAATAGAAACATGTGACAATAAGCTTTGTTCTGTCACGCGTAACTCGTTGCATTACACGTCCTCACATACTGTTTGTTAAGCATTGTGGGATAGCACGGGGCATGCTGTCAAGAATGATAATTTTGTAGGTACTCCCGGTGAAGACACTTTCTCATTTCACTATTCCAATCCGTCAAGCTCTGATCCATTACCCAAAAAATAGACGAGATCAGAACTCTACTTCGGCAGTGTAACCAGGTTTATTGAGAATAAACCTTAAAGGTGAAACGAGAAAGTGTCTTCACCAGGAGCACCTACAAAATTATAATTTTTGACAGCATGCCCCGTGTTATCCCACAATGCTTAACGAACAATACATGAAGACGTGTAACGCAACAAGTTACGCATGACAGAACAAGCTTGATGATAAACAGACTTTTAGATTTGCATCAAATGCATGTAGGTGGTCATGTTGTAAACTTATGAGTCATTGGTTGTGATATGTGTCTCAGGTTTGAAAGATTCTTTCAAGGTTTTCCTGTTCCCAGAAACTCATGTCTATCAAGCTGAAAATAAAACAATCAAGGTGAATAGGAGAGAAATGAACTACATTGTGTATAGTTGTAATGTTATAATATTTACTCATTACCCACGAGCCCTTGCTTACACAATCCAATAGAAAATCATGGGAATGAAAACTGAAGTGTGTTTAAAAGGAAGGGTTTACAAGAGCCTGTCCAGAAAAAGCCTTACAGCCCTGCACTTGAAAGTCCCTATAAATAAACTTGTAGTGGAATCGAATGGAAAGGAAAACAGTTACATGACCCTTTTTTGTATTTTGAATTATCCACAAGGTTTTACTTTATGATTCTTTTAGGATTTACCCTGTCATAGGATGTCATTGTTACCTTTTTTCCACTCTAACTTTTCTCTAGAAAGAGTGGTTGGATAGGATTGAAGAATGTAAAAAGAACTTTAAACTGAAGCTGGAGCAAGAGGTTAATGAAGGTGGCAGTGAAGTTGCATCCAATGCAGAGACCACCAGTAGTTCAGAGAATTCCAATCCCTTTGTTGAAGAGAGTGGAAAAAATCCATTTGAAGAGGACAACGACAAAAATCCTTTCACAAATGATTATGATGATGACAAGAATCCTTTTACTGAGAGCAAATCTACCAATCCTTTTGAGGAAGAGGAGGATGAAGGTTACTCTACTGATCTCTGTCATAACAATACACATGCAGGGATTAATACTCTGCTGAACCTTTAGGGAAGATGCTACATGAACCAGCAGTTTAGCAGGGAGGTTGTTGGGGCCCATTAAAGACTGAAAATTTTACTCATTAGTCTTAGTACGAATTTAAACTGAGGTTAAATGAAGGACCAGGGAGTTAGTTAAAGTAATGGAAAAATCATCAATTGAAAGAAACACGTTAAAAATGAGCATCTGAAAAAGTAAAATTAATAATACCTGTTTTGAAAACTAGAAAACTAAATAGTTTTGTTACCGGCCCCTTGTCTGTAGCAAGGAGAGACATGGAAAGGAGGCATCATCACTGGCTAAGCACTTTATAGTGGACCACTTCCAGTAGATGCATTCTTCACAACTGCCGTGAAGACCAGTGTAGTCTCAGTATGTAGTTATCTGCCGTGAAGACCAGTGTAGTCTCAGTATGTAGTTATCTGCCGTGAAGACCAGTGTGGTCTCAGTATGTAGTTATCTGCCGTGAAGACCAGTGTACAGA